AGGCTGGCATCTTTTTATCTGGAAGCTCAATAACACTTGCAGAAAGTGAAGGCTATATAAGGGGCCGGGGAAGATGGGGAGGACAGTTGTATTTTGATACTTCCTAGTGGGGAAAAAATGCTGTTTTCATAGTCCTTAAGGCTTTCACTAAAGCTTAAGAGAGAGAAGCCAGGAGAGAGGAGCATAACAGAAAAGCTTATGGGTGAGGGGAGAGAAATCAGATAGATAGAAGTTCTGGATTACAGTTTCTGTTCTGTTAATTGTGTTACAGTATGTATCTACTGCTAAGCTCACATGGATTGTCTGGCAAATATTCCTAGTGTCAGAATACATTGTAAAGACACAAGTTAAAAGACTAAATGAATGATGAGAAGTGTGATCATAAAGAGTGTAATATGCCAAGGGTTGCATAATTTTCTTCAGCTGTCTGCTTTTGAGGTCTGTGCAGGTGGTGCCTGATGAGTAGTGAAAGAACAGTTCTGAAGAGATTCCAGCTAGAAGCAGAAATGATCGTTAGAGCAGCACCTGCCTCCTTTTTAGTCTGGCAGCTCAGCCTTGTAGCCTCAAGAGTGACACATATGATGAGTCTCCTAAATTTAAGATGTAGTTTGTATACCTGCGAACGTAATTAAAGATTTCCATTCATAGAAAGCTCTCATAAGCAGCAAACTCTCAATTTATCATCTCATTGAGATGAATATTCACTTATTGATACCTTGTGAAACTGATACTAGCAGGGCAGCACAATTTGCATGTTCTCGTCAATAAAGATTTCTAAACCAACAAAAAAAGCTTCAGTAACAATGCCGATCAAACTTTGAATAATCCTTTCATTCTGGAAAGTTTGGCAGAACCGTGATAATGCAATGAATGTGTTACACTGGTATAATAAATGACTGAAAGTTTTCATGAAAATAAAAGTACAGGTGGGGATTATTGTACTGATAGAGTGATAACAAATTCTTCAGCAGATCATTAGATTGCAGTTTATGGTGTCATTTTCTTAAATCAGTCTCCTGAAGTATTATGCATGAGATTTTTTTTCTTCATAAACAAGCCTTTGAAGTGCCATGTTGTCAATATTTTCAAAAAGTCATTCACTGGAGTACTGAATCCTTGGAATTAAGCAGTAAAAAAAATCCATTAAATTTTAATTCTATAATTTTTTTGCTTTTATAGTAGTTAATTCAATGGTAAACCCCTTTATGTTAATACCTCCAAGTAGTCATTTTTGTGGGGTTTTTCTTTACAGCTTTCTTTGCATATTGTTTTCTTAAATTTTACTGATAAAGTGTGCAATTTGATGGCACTTCCTATCTGTTTCTAGTGTAACAGCTTCTGAATGAGGCATCCAATCAGCAAAAAATATCTAGAAAATCTTCAGTGAACGGAACATTTACGATTTTTAGCAAAATCAAAACAAAGTGATGAAGGAAGTACGTTGCTTATGATGCCTGATCAGTGAGGCAGTAGCTTTAATAAAGAATCTTGTCTATAGCATAAAAATAAATTGATAGTTACTGAGAATTTCCTTGCAAGTCTCCCAAAGCCCCACCCAGGGAAGAGGAATGGCAAAGCATGGATTCCATTACACAGCATGGTGGTGTGGTACAAGAATTCATGTGATGGGGCTGCCGGTAGTTGTGTGCTGGAAATTTGGATCAACAGAGGCATTCAGAGGGTCTCTAGAATGTGCACTGAGCACAGCTTACAGGAGCAATGGTCTGCGTGATTTTGTGGTGTTATAAAAAAAAAAAAAAGGCAAGCATATACATCACAATAGCAGTGATTCCCCTCTTTTTTTTTTTTTCTCTGCTGAACTGATGTCAGTTAGAAAATGTGGAGGATAGTAATGTGTAGCCACCTTCTCAGCGAGGTGCACTGTGCAGTATAATTCTTCTGTACTCCTTTCATTCTTTCATTTACCCAGAATATCTCAGGTACGCTGAGTGGTTTCCTCCTTGCAAAAAAGAGGGAGACATAAGTCAGTACAAGCCTCCACCTTCCTTAGATGTTGACAACAGACTTTAGTGGCTGTGTAGGTCAAAGGATATAAAGCTGATTCACAGCGCTGCCTGTAGGGAATGTTTTGTTAAAGATTTAGCACCTATCTGAAGGGGAACAAGATTTTTCAGTGTTTAAAAAATATATTTCACCTTCTTTTAAGATTAACTCAAGCTTTATGTTACAAAAAGGTCCTCCAACCTCTATACTCAGGTTGTACTCAGTGTTCTGTACTAGTCACCTAGAATTCAGTCATGGCAGGGGAGATATATATAGATATATATATATGGAGTTTTTTAATATACATATATATATGATTTTTAAAATGGCATTCTAGGGAACTAGGGTGTCAAAATTTCCCTTTTCAGTTATCTTTCTCACTAATAACTAAAAAATAATAATTATATAGTCTACATTTTGTTTTAAATTTGAAGATGTGTCAAAGGCACCAATGACTGTTGCAGTGCCGTCTGTTAGGATTCAGTCTTTGGCAGAATTTTTTTTCATGTAATACATGGTTCCTGGCAGATAACATGGCCTGATCTTGCATTGAAAGAACTGCGTCCAGCAGGATGAGGGGAGTGATTCTCTCTCTCTTCTCCATTCTCGTGATACCCACCTGGAGTACTGCATCCAGCTTTAGTGTCCCCAGTACAAAAAAGACATGGACCTGTTGGAGAGGGTCCAGAGGATGGCTACAAAAGTGGCTAGAGGGCTGGAACACCTCTGCTGTGAAGAAAGGCTGAGAGAGTTGGGGTTGTTCAGGCTGGAGAAGAGAAGGCTCCGGGGACACCTTATTGCACAGCCTTCCAGTCCTTAGAGGGGACTTAAAGAAAGACGGAGAGAGACTTTTTACCAGGGCCTGTAATGAGAGGAAAGGAGAAACTGTTTTAAACAGAATTAGGGTAGGTTTAGATTGGATAGAAGGAAGAAATTTTCTATGAAGATGGTGGTGAGACCCTGGAACAAGTTGCCCAAAGAAGTTGTGGATGCCTTATCATTGGAAGTGTTATAGGTCAAGTTGGATGGGGCTTCAAGCAACCTGATCTAATTAAAGATGTCCCTGCCCATGGCTGGGAGGGGCGGGGGGTGAGGCTAGATAATCTTTGAAGTTCCCTTCCAACCCAAACCATTCTGTGATTCTATGGTCTACTTACATATGGAAGATTTTTCTTTTTAATCACAGGCTCATTTAGTTGGGAGGGTATTCTTGAGATTCTCTAGTCCAACCGCCCTGCTCAAGCAGGGTCTGCTATTGTGGGTTTTTCAAGGACTGTGTCCAGCTGGGTTTTGAATGTCTCCACAGATGAAGACTCCGAAATCTCTCTGGGTAGTCTGTTCTGGTGTTTGACCACCCTCACACTAAAAACCTGTTTCCTTATGTTCAGAATTAATTTCCTGGTTTTGAATTTGTGCCTATTGCCTCTTGTCCTGTCACTGAGCACCACTGAGAACAGTCTGGCTCCCTTTTCTTCATTCCCTGCCCTCAGGTATTTATGTATACATTGGAAAGATCCTGTTTTGCCCCAGGAGGTGCTGTTACGATCCCAGTAAGAAAGGCACTCGGAGTCTGTAAGGTATCATTTAAAATACTGTCTATTAGAGCTGAGACTGTAAGGAGAGAATTATACAGACAATCTTGCATCCCTTTAGATGGTGGGAGTCCTGTGTGGTGTGACATTGGATGGGCCACTGATCCACGTGCAGCATGCTGGGCAGTCCCTCCCAGTAGCAGAGATTCTCACATTTGGTCATTCAAGCTGTAACAGGAATTTTTTACAAGGAAACCACTCTGTTCATTATTTCTCCTGGCAAACGGAAAGGACATCCATATGAGAACTTCTTGGGGCACTTGTGGTTGAAGTCAAGGCCACGCAGGTGAGGTAACACAGGCACCCGGTGGGAGCTGCCTGCGGGCTCTGATGCAGTGTGTTGGCCAAGTTCATCCTGCAGCCAGGGGAGTTGGGCAGCACAGCACAGGCCTGGGCTCACTCCCATTGGCTGTTGTGTGGGTCACCAACACTTCGATGTACGACAGTCTTCTGGTCAGAATCACTACAGGTCCTCCATGGTCTATAAAACCTGGTAATCTGTTAGATAAGGGGTACTTCAAGGCCAGCATTTTTGGCTTGGTTTTCTGTGAGCTTCAATGAGAAATGTTTTAATGAGTTGGCATACACTTGTTTAGATATTTGCCTTTTTCATTAGTAATCAAGAATGCTTAGGACGTGAGGAGCAGTAATAGTGTTGGTGAGGTGAATAGTAGGTGAGGTGCTAACAGAAATAAAACGGACAAATAGTAAATATGAGGTAGACTTAAAATATCCTACTGTAACATTTTAGCTAAGTATTTAGTAAGTATGTCTGTGTAGGAAGAAGTTTGTAATAATTTTTGATATGTCTTTCAGCTGTTGTGAAGTATTTGCAGTGTTGGTCATCAACATTGAACAGATACTTTAACTGGCATTTGTTATGCTGTCTTTTTAAGTAATTGCCTGTAATATTTCAAACTACCACAGAAGACATGAGATGCAAATATGTGTCTTGCTAATAAGTAGAAAAATGAGTTCTTTTTCATGCACACTGCAGAGAAGAATGTTGTTTTGATCTAGCAATATGTTATTTCGTATACTAAAATGAAGTTTTCTTACCTGATTTTGACTCAGGTAATTGTTAAAAACAGGGTGCAAGATACCATTTAAACAACTTGTGTGAAAATTTGCATAGTGCTCCATCTGCATACCTACTGTCATGTTGAAGGCTTAATCTTCTGATAAATAATTGCTATATGGCATATTTCAGTATTTTATTGCATAGCAAGTTTTGTAAACTCTGTTTTATAAACACTTAGATTTATAACCTCCTGGCATGGTTTTGACTGAGCAGGCTGAAGATAACACTTCTTTAGCTCCATTTCTACCGAAAGGTATCTTACAGAAACTTTATCTTACATATTTGCACAGACTGAAAACTCCTCTTTCTTTTTCTTTCCATAGGATAAGAAATGGGTTCTCAATCATGAAGATGTCACACTGGGAGAATTACTGGGCAAAGTAAGTAATCAAGTGAGCTAAGTAACATTTAAGTAAGTATATATTAATCATTAAGCCTACACATTTCCTATGTGCCTCATCTTTTAAATTACTGTGGTATGCAATTTTTGTATAAATTCTTTTACTTTAATACAGAAGACAGCGTTGTGCTTTAAACAAATGTAAATCACATTTACTGGCAAGTGATATAATGTGTGTGCTGAAGGTTAACTAGCATACATATTTTTCTCTTTTAGAAGGCTTTTAAGCTAACTAGATTTCTGTAAAGCATGATGTGGCTGTTTTACTTTGTGTAGTCTTACAAAATATGTCATTGCAAAATCAAAACATAAACAAACATGTTTATGTAGTTAATGAAATTTATGTATTAAATATGATATAATAAGATGATTATGATATAATAAGATGATTATTCAACAATATTTGTTGAAACAAATGTTGATTGCTTTTGTATTATTTATTGAATGCTAGGTAACTTCATGATGGCATATGTATTAAATTAATTGTTATATAGTGTAGTTTTTATCACAAAGTCTGCTGAGGAGCTATAAGTCTTTAAAATCAGGTAAGGCCTGTACCTCACTTATATTTTTAGCACCTTTACAGCTACAAAAACAGTTGTGAGTATTACTCTGGACAACACATTCCAAAGGATTGTCCAAAAACTGAAAAATATGATTAAATGAGGAGAAGACAAATGAAAGCAATAATTGCGTTCTTACTGTGATACACACTAAAGGAATTTATAAACTGTTCAAGAAATGGGGGAATTAAATGCTTTCAGAAAATTCTGTTTCCCAGGTTAAAATCTCTTTGGCAGTGTAAGATGACAAAAATATTATCTGCCAGTAGACAGAGCTGTGTCTGCCTAAAATGCAGGTACTATGACAGCTTCACATTTTTGAACAGAATAGAATCAAGGGAGAAAAATAAAGGCATTACAAAAGCTTTGTCATGCTAAAAAATAAGTATGAATTAGTCTTCATGAGTAAATACAGTTAAAGAAATCTTAAAACTGATTAATTTAGTAAACTGTATATAAGTGTGCATTGCATTTTGTGCCAAAAAACACTCAATAAAGACAACTCTGCTTAAAAGAGATTATAGAAGGATATGTTCTTTAAAAAATATGGAACAGGATAAAAACTTTCTTGAAACACACTATAAATGTGTAACACATCCATCCCTAAAAAAGATACAGTCAAACTAGAAAAGGTAAGAATGACAGGACTGTCAGCATCCATGTGAGAGAATATTAAATAAACTACAGCCTTTCAGCATGGAAATGAGAAATCTGAGGATCCATAAATCTTGAGTGGCCTGGAAAAAGTGAGGAAAATCACGAAAGCTTGATGCGTAAGAGGATGCAAACTTCAAAAAAGACAAAGATTTTCCTGCACCTCAGGTCTGTTTATTTACTCAGTATTAATTCTATAGTAACCCACAAAATGGAAGTTATATGAAAGGAACATGTTATATTAAAAATCATATACATAATATCAATTAAATATTTTAATAAAGAAGAAAAAACATTTTCCATACTTAAGTAGTCCTTAAGGTGGGTTCAGCTTTCACTGTTAAATACTTCTGACCAGAAGGCTAGAGGAAAGGTGTGCTGGGAGTGGCTCAGCTTCTTAGCTTTGGGTACCTTGTGCCCTTGTTACTAGCAGCACATTACTATTTTCCATCTGCGAGTTTCTTTTTTTCCTTTTTTGTCTTCTTCCTTTGGCAATACAGTATTCAAATGCATGGTGTAAAGGAATCTTCATGACTCAGGAATGGAAGAATACTGTTTTCAGCAGAGTTTTGCTGTTTGTTTAATTCGCATGCAGCCCCAGATACCAGGACGCAGAGGCGGAATCGTGGAAATTTATAAGATGTAGATTTAAGTTTGAGTCGTATTTATTCTTTGGGAAATACAGAACTTACAAAAAGTAGGAGATTTTGTTTTTTTTCTTCTCTTGGGTTTTTTCATTGATACCAGTGTTTTGTTATATACCCCACAATTTCCTTCTTCCTTCAATTTGTGTCCTAATTAATTTTCCTTCTGTTTTTATTTAAGTAAAAAATACATCTGATGGAGATTATTCTATGGTCTTTGTTATTTCAGTTTTTCTCTATGAAAGCCAAAAGAATAAACATCTTACCCCAGGGGTATATTGTTGAAGACCTAAAAAATCTGATTATAAAAGGAGCTACTTTCCAAAGTCTTGTTCAAATGTAAGGCCTTACATACTTGCCTTTATAGAGCAGTGCTGAGCTTAGCTTTAAAAAAATTGTGGATCACATAACTTTTTCAGGGCCTACAAGACAATACATTTTTTGCAGTGGTTTTAATTTACAATCAAAATTAATACATGGTGTTTTCATTCTTCTTACCTTGCATTTTTTATTTCTTGTGTATGTGAGAATGTTTCTGTTATTTTGATGTGTTTTGTCCTAGTTTCACAGGTCACCTTGTGGTCTCTTACAGACTGCAAGTTAAAAACTATTGATAAAATACAATAGTGTGAAAATGAAAGAGTACAGGAGTAAGATCAAGAAAAAAAATAGTACTATCAGTGTTGACTTTAGAAGTTACAAAGAGTTTTTATGAGAAAATTACACAATTAATGTATTTTTTTCTGTTTCCAGCAAGGTCAAAGTAGAACTTGCATGCTATGTCCATATAATAGATGTACTAGGTCTATGTGAACTGCATTATGTTAGGGGCAGATACTGAAAGATAACTTCATTTGGTGTCGTAAACACATTTCAAAGTTCACTACCAGTTATGCTAACTGTCTGCATTATTATTCTGGAGATTTGTGAAGATTTTATTTACTTACAATGATTTTTTTTTTTCCTCCCTGATTTCAGGGTAATTTTGGTGAGGTGTATAAGGGAACATTAAAGGATAAAACTCCTGTTGCTGTAAAAACTTGTAAAGAAGATCTTCCTCAGGAATTGAAAATAAAATTTCTGTCAGAAGCCAGGTAGGTTCTCTAAGTTTAATTGAAATACATACTTGTTGTGGTTTATTTTTTTCTAGATTTTATTACTAGATGGATTTAGAAAATCTGACCTTCAGAATAATTCAAAGAAGCAGTAGTCAAACTTTTTTCCTTTTTTTCTCTCCTTCAGTACATTCCACAACTGTTGCCCTGGTAACTAAATATAGGCATTTTTAATGTAAGAATGCAGTAGCATCTGCACTTGCTGAAACTACCTCTTTAGCAAAGCAAGCTATGCCTATACAACATAGTTTTGTTATTGTAAGTGCTTCCATTTAGAACTTCTTCTGACATGTGCCATGAGGATTAGGATAAGAAGACTGGAAGATGCTGTTAATTTAAATGTGATTATACCAGTCATAAATCCTACCTTACATGCATGACTGGTATAGCTTGTCAGATATGGCTAAGTTACTGTATAGACCCAATAATAACTTTTGATTTGAAAGAAAAGTTCACTCCAGCAAAGATATATTATGCTGCGTCAGGCAGCGTGTGATTGCATACCTATTTTTCAAATGACAGTCATGCCACAATATGATAAGTATTCTGAATATAGGCTGATGTAGATCGGTACGTCCTGAGACCTTAGGATAGAGGGGCATGTTGAGATAATGTCACAATTGTTTAAATTAACTTGCTCCCTCTTGCTATTAAGCTTCTTATGTTTTCATTTTTACTCCCAAACTAGTGTGATCAATAGGGAAAAGTAAAAGATAGTATTTACATTTAGAGAATGAAGATCAGCTACCGTATCTGTTGAATAATTTTAAACAGTTTGTAACTTCGCAACTGCAGAGATGTTTCATTTGTTAAGCAGCCTGCTGCTAATGAAACAGTGTTAGTCTGAAAAAAATGAAATGTGTTATTTCTCACTAAATACATATGTACCAGCTAGGTTAGTATTTTACTGTTGATCCTAGGAAAAAAGGGAATAAGAGAAGGTGCTTTAAGTCAGCAAATAGTAGAAGAAACATTTAAGTTTCAAGGTCCCTGTAGAATTCTTCCTTGCCCTTCATTTCACTTATAATTCATAGCCTGCTGGATTAGGCTGCAAATGTTCCTATTAAAGTCTTGTGTAAGAAGATGTAAATGTTTTTGTCTAATTACAAAATTTAAAATTGCTGTCCTTATATTCTTTTAAAACTTCTTGTATTAATTGATCTCTTAAAGTCGAATGAGTGTGCATTTGAAAAATGTAGCAGGAAAGTGTAGAGCCATGCTGTGCATGCTTTTTTGATGTAACTCTGCTTCTGATCCACTACTGAAATGCTATTTAATTACAAGGCTTCTTGAGAAACTCCAAATGTCTCAGGCCATTTTTCAGTTATATAGACAAATGTTATGTAGGCAAATGGTAAAATTACAAAAAGAATAATTTAGTGTTCAGTCTTGATTTATTAGTGAATCAGTATGTCTTCCATTTCAAACAGAATGATGATTGATCTGTTACATTGATTTTTTTAATCTTTATAATAACAGTAATGACATGTTTCACTAATATAACATTAAGGGTTTAAGATATTTTCCTATAATATTTAATCAGTTTGTACAATAAAGTTCATTAATATAATAAAGTTCCTGTGTGTTTTTCAGAATACTCAAACAGTATGATCATCCTAATATTGTAAAACTTATAGGAGTTTGCACACAACGACAACCTATTTATATTGTTATGGAACTTGTTCCAGGTAATTTTTTTTTCCTTTTTTTTTTTACCCAGCATATTTTCATAGGTATTGTTTCGATAATGTAAAATGTTTTGGTTTTTATTTGTCTTCATCTGCATTCTTATGACTGATCTCAAAATCAGTCAGAATCTCAAAATCTTGCAAATCTTTGGAAATACTAGGTTTTACTAGCTTTGGAGTGGAAACAAATCTGTTGTGAGGTTTTCTGTAGCTATTCAAGACAACAGAATTTGCTAAAAGGTATCTCAGCTCTATCTTCATTTGCCTTCTGACAAGATATTACATGGTGCTTCCTTTAACAACTGAGTTACGTAGTGAATGTGAAGATACTTGTCTTTAAAAAAACTTCACGGCTGGGTAATGTTTAAATTTTAATAACTTGGGTTTTTATAATCTTTGGTAATATAAGAGTTTTTTCTGTACCAAAACAGATTGTTCAGTTTATGAGTTGCTTTTGATTTATTTTTGGAATCTTGAGTCCATGTTATTCAGCAATGGCTGGAGACAGTGTCAAGGTGTTGGGATGATAACAGCTTTTGGGCAATTTTACCTCTTTGTTGATTTTCTCAGCATCTGGAAAATCTGTGTTTCATAGCCTCTAGTACTGCTTAATGTGCAACACTGTTTTAGGTTTATATATCACTGGATTAGTCTTCAAAATTATACAGCAAGCTGTTATAAAAACCATTTCATTCATGAAGGCTTAGTTTGTTTATAATTCTTGAGCACTGGCTTTCATACAAGAGGACTGATGAAATCTTTGACCTATTGGAATATTCTGCCTTTATTCAATTAGATTATATTAGATTATTGTATTTGTACATGTGAGTAACTTTATTAAAATGATGACTAAAAGCAGTGTCCTGGATTTTAAGGCATACTTTGGTAATCAGCTTATTCACACATCTCTGAAGGTAGAAATAAATTCTGATCTTTTAACACCTTTCTCGTTCTGGTTCAGAGTTTTCAGAGCCTAGGACAAGTTGTTGAAACATGCTAATACAATTTGAGGAGGAATTAGTTGGAATCTTTCTCTGATTCCCATGCCTATTTCACAGTCCAAGTCTATGAAAAAATTCTTCCATCTCCTGGCTTTGAATTTGCAAGAAGCTTCTGAATTCTTATCCTGTTTTGCTGTTCTGTAAGTCCTCTGGCCAGCTTCTATTCTTGCCTGCCCTCATAAACGTTGTAGTATGTTCAAGTAATCACAGTTTTCCATATACTTTTAAATCTTGGCTAGCACACCATGAGACTGACCAAATCATCTAGAAACAATAAGGATGCCAGCTCTGAAGAAGTTGGCGGAGTAAAGACAAGACACTTAACTTGGTTCAGAGAAGCAGTGATTCTGATGTTACTGGTTTTCTGTTTTCTAGATGGCAAGTTTGGATTAGATTACCTAAAATAATAATAATTAGTGCTCTGACTTGATGTTTAATGCTTTGAAGAACAAAATAGTGGTAGGCTTGTTGAGTTGCACTCAACACGCAACTGAGAATCAGTGTCTGCTTTGTCTGTTTTGTCTTAAATGAGTTTATGCTCAAAGGTGTTTAAGTAGTTTAACTCTGACATTCTTTTTAATGCCTAAAAATGGCATGTTTCGGCTTAGAATTGTATGCTGTAAATGTACGACTGAGAAGGCGTGTAATTAATAAATGTCTGACAGTTTTTCCCCTGAGGAAAAAATTAGAAACAGCTCCATAAAACATGGAATTTCTCCTGTGTTTTCTGAGTTCTATTTAATGTTTGCACTTTTTCTACTGTTTCTATATCCCAAATACATGTAAACTAGTGGCTAATTCTGCTTTTCATTCCAGATTCAGTTTTCAGTTCAGATTCTTAATTTGTTCAGGTATTCAAAATTTATTTTGAAACTTAGCACTTTATGTAGAGAGGTGCTACTCTGTTAGTGATTCTGTCATAAACTGTGTCTGCATAGAAATCTTTTTCCTTTGTTGCAAATGTGAATGGGATTAAAAACTATGCATTGCGTAAAGTCATGGGTGAAAACAATAGAGAAGGTGGCAGATGCATATATAAACATCTGTGCATCCATTGTTACATGCAAAAATAACCCAGAGGTTGCCAACAGATAACAGAGAAATAAAGCAAGTTGTCGAAGACAATTATCCTTTGTAGGTAGATCCGTTTTCTTGGTGCATGTGTTAACAAGTGACATGTGTCCAAAAGTAAGAATCACGTTGATAAGAAATTTCAAGACGGGTGATGTAGCAGGGATTAACCAAAACAATAAATGAGGTGGCAGAGCATGTTGCAGATACATAGCCGAAGTAAAAAGGTAGATGAGAAATTATGTATGTTAATGAAAAAGAACCATGATTTACTTACTATTCACTTAGATGCTGTTGGTCATACTGATCTCACTGTGTATGTCCACCCAGTGTCAATCAATCATGGGTTACTCCAGTACAGAAAGACTTGGTTATCTTTTTTGCAATTCACTACTTGTCAAGAAATGAGGAAATACCTTAGTGTAATGTGTATGTATATATTATATAGATGTTTTTAAGGGATGCATACATGGAAAAATAATATCTCCCAGCCACTGACTGAATTGTTAGGGGCCAGGTCTCTCCTCTTCTCAGTCTTGTCCTGCAGGTCTTTCTGCAAGAACCTCTACAGGTGGAAAGGGGGGGAACATCCTGTAAGCAGAATGTGGCATCTTTTTCTAGAGTTGGTTGGGATGAGATTACTGTAGTTCTAGCTTCTCAGACAACATCTAATGAAAAAACAGTCCTTTAAATTGAGAAAGGAGAAAGCCTGAAAAGACAGAACAGCGTTTTTTTGTTACTGTAACTGTAATTTCATGATGGTACCATTGATGATGACACGGACTTAGGATGCTTTATCCACTAGACTGAAAACATAGGAGTAAGAGTCCTAATGATTTTTAAAAATTAAGCTGTGCATGATTCATATATCAAGTTAGGAAAGTCCAGTAAACTGGTGAAAGACAATTTCTTATGAGGACTCAGAATAACAAATACTTTAACAAAGATGCATTTTACAGTTGTCTAATAAAATATGCCCAGTGATCATCACAAGATAAGCTTGTTTCTTAACTTTGTAAAGAATGTATACTGGGCAACATGCATTTTAATATAGGAAAAAAAGCTACTGGAATATTTTTTAAAGAGCTGAGTTCTCCTGTTTTCCAGGTAAGGAACTGATACTGTTGCTTGAGTAAAGAGCATAATAAATAGTTTCTCTGAATACAGAAGAGCATATTCTGCCAACTTTTTTATTGTTTGTGACAAACATGCCACAGATAAAAGTCTCAGTAAGTTGTGGTGGCTGCCTACTAATAAGAATCACTATTCCAGTGAACTTTATTTGGGAGGTATGTGCTTCTAGTTTATGTAGGACAGTCTTTATTTATTGTATGATTTAGATTCATTATTGCTTTCTGAAAGCTATTAAAAAAAACAACAACTAATTAAAATGTTACCAGTCATATATAAACAGAAGCTAAAATGCATGTAGCAGCAAACAGTGTCCTTCATATGTACACGGAAAGTTACACGTATAGAAGAGATGTGACATAAAACTGCCATTCAGGAATTTACAATGAGAGTTACTGAAAAATAAAACTAATTATTTTTTAAATCCCAAGCAAAATATTCTCCCTCTTCTCTCCTCCCCTTCCCCAGATTGCCAAGATAGCCATTGAAATTGAGTCAATAAGTCCTTAATATTGGTTCTTATAAACATTTTATATATTTGTAAGTTAACAGACATCTCTTTGCAGGCTTAAGTTATGCTAGCTAGCTTCTATGAAAGGCAGTTTAGCAAAGCAGGTAGTTTTAAAATGTTATTTCTGATTGCATAATGAATCAATTTGTAATAACTTTTAAAGCCCTCTTGCAAATAATTAATTTTATTCTTTTTTACCTAAATGACATTGAAATATTAACTAAAAGGAACTACTGCCCAGATCCTTACAACAGCCCAATACTGAAGTTGCTGTGTGGCTTCTCAACTGCCATGTAATAAAAGTTAACTTGGCATAGTATTTTTCCGAGATTTTTTTAGTAGACTAAGAACTGAGAAAACAACCCTATTTGGAAATGATGTTTGTATTACAACATTCTGATAATGGAGAACTTCTCATAGAGATTTCCTCTTCCTGTTTGGTAGTTATGACTCCTTCTGTATGACACCTGTAGTTACCAGTGTGAAAATATTAAGACTGTTAAAAAGAAAGAAAATCTGAGAAGTACAATACCCATGCATTTACATGCTGATCTTTTGCATGCATTTTGTGTTCCTAATGGAAGTTGGACTTTTATTTCTCTTTTGCTGTGCACTTAACCTTTATTCATATTTTCTGATTTCATATTACTAGCTTCTGCTCTTTACGTTCTATTAGGACTTTTAATTTAGGATGGGTCATTTGGCCAACTGTATGAGGTTTAATAAGGCCAA